GAAAATCCTTATAGGAGTGGTATGGGGAATGTAAGTCAGTGGTATGGGAGTGGTATGGGAGTGGCTGCCAGGATGCTTTGAGTTTGAGCAGATGCACCCACGTGCATAATTCTCCCATAACTTTATAGGAAAAATCCATGTCTCCAACTCCTTGAACCTATACTGCTCCCATGCACAGGTATATACAAAGTTTGCAGGTACTCAAAAGTTCTGTGGAAGAAACCCGCTCAGCCAAAAACAAACATGGAGTGTATAGAATTAAAACTAGAAGACGGATACGCACAGGCAGCTGTCAGCCAACGAATACAGTACATACCTATATATATATTGAAACTTCTTTTCAGATCGTGCTCAGGATTCAGGAAAAAGATACGCTCTAAGTGTAGATTCGCAGGGCCCAGCATGTGAGATGCAGCCTTGTACATATTTACCGTATGTTCATTGCACAAGCAAAAAGGATCTCTTGTCTTAGCCTCCTAACCTCCTAAAAAACATCAGTGCCAAAAAATCCAAAGGCGGGCCTGCGCCACTCCGGCCAAGTCGCTCGCTCAAAATCGGCGTCCTTTCTCGAGGAAGGGCACAGGTCATCTAGCAGGTCCTGTGAATTGGTCATCCAGCAAGTCCAAAAAATGAAAGTTGACACGGAGAACTCAGAAATCAATCTGGCTGTCAGTGTCTAAACTAACACTGAGGTTCTGAGTCACAGAGGAGTGTGGTAAGGATACAGCATGATGAGGCACAGTGAGGCGTCTTGAGGATCATGAGCTGATGCTCAAACATGATGCAGTTTTGTCTTCATTCGCCTCGTCTGAGGAAGATTCCTCCTTCTTGCGTCGGTCAATCCTCCGCCCGACCTCGTCGTACTTCGGCTCTTTGCCTAGCAGGCTGCGCATGATTGTGCTGGTGGGGCTAGGACTTCGGTCTTGGATTTCAAGAAGGCCATACCTTGCTATGTGAAAACCATCATTGCCCATGCAGTACTAGGTACTGTACAATGTTCCAAAAGGCATGGGCTGAACTTCGAGGTTAAACATGTTAAAACAAATGCAGCTGCGCCATGCTGCGCCTTTGTTTTTGGCCTTGGCTTTCACCTTTGCTTTGGCCTTCGGCTTAGGCTTCCTGAGTCACGAGTCGAGCACAAGAGCACAGAATTCGGTCATGATGGTGCAGCTGTCCAACGAGTGGTGACTGGCGATCAGTGGAGGAAGTCATACAATGATCTTCAGACCTTTAGGCTCCTTTCCTTGTTCTTTGTGTTGGTTGTCTTTCCACAGCCAACTATGGCAAGGCTCCCTTCTTTCTCCTCCTCTCTTGCCACAGCAATGCCAGACAAATGCACTTCATCCCCATCTCGAGTGAAGGCAAATGTGATCCTTAGGCTTTGCTTCGCTTCTTTGGATCCAATGGGCCCGCGGGGAAAGACGAGATCCAAAGCCCTCTCTCTCTGAAACCACCCCCCGGTGCCGAAGACGACTGAGTCTCACGAAAACGAGTGATGATGTGTGGATCTAAAACCTGAGTCCTCCAACCTCATACCTTCTGAGGCCACGTCTTTCCCTCTTTGTCTGCCAAGGTCTTGCCTGATGCAGTGGCCTGTGCATACGACGCGCTGGAGAGCTACAGTATATATATATATCAGATGATCAGTCTCTTGCGTTTGCAAAATGATGCATGTATGTGTATATATTTAAAAATACTCTCCGACGTCGCCCTCAGTGAAACACGGGTCAAATCAATGGTTCAGGTGATTCATGGTTGAATGTGTCCTAAAGTTTTTAGAGCTTCCATAGCACTATACTTCGCCATTCTTCCAATATTTGTCACATCCAGTTTACAATCCTCTATTAGACTGCACTGGCTGCCGGCTCCCAATCCTCGTAGGACTTGCTGGCGTTTGTCTTCCCCTGATCTTCACCATTGACCGAAAGGCCTCGCACGCAAACCACCTGGTCTTTCCCTCCTCTGTGGACCACTGGTAAAACCAGTTTGGTTCGACGATCAAATCAACTTGCCCAACCCAGAGATTGTAACATAGCGGCTAGGTGGGAGATGCTATGCTGACAAGGTTCCATTTGCACTCCCGTGCAGCTTAGCCACTTGGTACACCTGCAATGAGGCTCAATCAGGAAATGTGTTGCGAAAAGGGCAGCTGAGACTTGTAGACAAACATGTGCTAGGCCATGTGGTCAATTGCTGAAATGGAACTGAACAACAGCAGTGCTGGCGGCAAGACTGAGTTGTATGCCGTCAGCGATTGTTTGTTCCTTTGCGATGCTTGACATCGGTGCATTCCCAAGACTGACAACTGACTCAAAAATTACATGAGCAGCAGTAGCTCAAGAAGTCACCAACAAACAAAAGGAAGAGGTCAAGGGGAAAAAACTAAAAGAAGAACGCTAACCACCAGGTTCAGAACACGGAGCCTTTCAATATTCTCAATGTTCATCCCCGCCTTCCAGAAGTAACCCACTCCATGGTCAAGACCAGAGACAACAGCCTTGCCTGTCCCTGGCTTGTTGCGGATAAAGCCTTTGGCATACCTGCGAGCTGAGGGGCATGGGATGCAGAAAAGAAAAATGATAACGCCATGATGCCATGTCAACAAAGACACGAAATGATGCCGAGCATCGGTCTCGTATGGGTCCATCCCGTCAAAAGACATCTGTAGTCATTACCTGCCGGAGTTTTGCTCTGAGTTGAGGCTCAATGGCAAGGCTCACAATGGCAACACTCAGCCACGCTCCGACTCTAAAGGCTTTGGGATGGCGTCAGTCAAGAAGAAAAGTAACATGATGACGGACGGTTCAAAACAACAAGATCAATCGAGTCTTTTTGCGTTCATCTTTCCATCAACTCGACTGAAGAGGCGACCAGTGATGCCTCTATGACCGACATGGTTCTGAAGACTCACAGCCCGCCTAAGGTGTAGTAAAACGTCTTCGACTCGTCCAGGGTGCTCACACCACGGTCATCGAAGTTCTGATCGTCTAACCTCAAAACTGCATAAATTGCTGCATAAAGGATAATAGAAATGATTAGATCGAGGTCAAATGTGGGCGGACCTTTTCTTTCTGATGGACAATATCTTTTCCCTTTCGTTCTGTTGTCTGCCGCATCCTGCTGCCAGTTTTTCACTCCCTCTCATTTTCTCGCTTTCTCCGTCCTTGATCTCTCCTTTTTTAGACAACGACACACACGGTCACGGAACGAGGGCCACATGGGGGCACTCTCTCTGGGGTCTCTCGTTTGGTGGCCGTCGTCGCCGTCGTCTCCCGAAAGGACAAGCGACGTGGTCAATGGCTCCGGTGGTCTTTTCACCTCCGTTCGACGAGACACGGAGCACCACAAAGCCCATCTGTCGTTTTCGGCCTCTATTTACAGTATTTTACAGTCCAATTCCATCCCATTCCCGATATGCACTAGGAGTAAGGACGCTACTAGGGGCTCCTGGCCTTGCTACTTGGAGCAAGGACGCTACTAGGGGCTCCTGGCCTT